AATTCCCAACACCCCAATATAAAATTCATTTGTGAAATTTAACAAAATAATAAACTATCATTTCTTGAAATTTACATAAAATATCGTGTAACTGCTTCTTCACCAATACCTGTCCTTGGACTTCATTATCTCAGATATATTCCTCATATTTACAAACTAAACACACAACACTTATCAGCTTCGCTTACATCTGTTCAACTTGGACTAGTTTTCACGAAGAAGCTTCATTCTTAAAGGAATATGTGTGTGTGTGTGTGTGTGTGTGTGTGTGTGTGTGTGTGTGTGTGTGTGTGTGTGTGTGTGTGTGTGTGTGTATCATATGTGTATATATATACTTATACATATATATAAACACACACACATATAAATCTGTGTGTGAGTGCGTGCATAAGTTTGCATGATACGTATGTATTTTACGTATATAATTAGAGGGGATAGTTTACATCAGTCCTCCCTCTTACAGCTGAGCCTCAGCTGACAACTCCCCTGAAGAGAGGTAGACTTAAGTATATTTCACAGATACTCCCGTTTCTATGCGAAGTCCCGTAATGAGAAGAAAATAAGGTTTCCAAGGCTCCCTAAACAGACATACTCTAGAGGTCGGAGTTAACACAGCAAGGAAATAGAGCGTCAGTTGAAGAGGAAAAAGAAACACAACCGATAAAGAGGATAAAGAGAAAGGGAGAGAGGACAGATCCTAGAGGAACACCACACGAACAAAGAAGGAAATGAATGAATATGGAAAACTACAGAAAATTTGGCAAGTATTCCTTTATGTTAGACCATCCTACATGTCAGTGATCATTCCTTATAACATTCATGGGCATAGCACATCTCAGCGCGAAGATTCTGTGAATGTTTCTGGAATATCCATCCGTTGAGTTCCTTTAAAAAGCTGCGTGTTGGTTATATTCATTCAGAAGGGGATATAGGCAGTGTATATATGCTGTCGTGTGGAGCAGCGAAATGTGCCAGACTTTATGGAATTACGGAAATAAAATCAGAGGAAAAATCGAGTATTAGAGTCGGACTACCGCTTAACAAGGTCATCTTTTATATTGCATCCTAGTTACCTCGCGTCTTCCTCCTCCTCGCATGCTGACTGAGGGACACCCACACTGGTAATTTCTTCCCTCCAGCACTTTGCATGCGTCGCCTCTGAAGATCATACTTTACTTTTGTAATGGGCACTGCTTGTTCCGAATAGTAGTAAGCTTTCTTTTAAGATATTTTGTATGAGCGACTCTTAAAGGTCTTGCTTTGCTTGTACATGAAAACTGTGGTCATGAGATGAACAATATATTCATACGCACTGCAGTGTGTTGATACTGTGTTGAACAGTCTACTTCTTATTTTCTTTTTTCATATATCATTCCGTAAGCACATCCACGTCCCTAGTTATACGAATGCAAAATCGCTTAATTCCGTAGTGTAATCAGCTCACTCCACTCCTCGCATACGCTACACGCATGACTCATCATTTGACGAACCCAGCGATCCTGACATCAGTCACTCCCTCTCGAGCAGTGCCAAGACGTTAACTCTACCGCCTTATTTCCAACAACTCTCACGCAGTTGCTTAAACAATAAGGACTTGATTCGTGATGTTCAGCATTTTAATACATCTAGATTGGTGGGTTCGAGAAATATTGGATATGTGAAAACCCAGATAAAACCGCATCTTATAATTATCACAGATGAGCGGCAGTGCCCGTTTCACGTTCATCTGACGCGCACCTACGTCATGATTACATTTTTTCCTTCTCATGACCAAGTACGTATGGTTAGTATATTACCAGTAGTAGTTACGATTCACTTAACTTTTCGAAGAATTCTAAATGACCAAATTCCTTCTCTGATCTGAAGATGCTTAGAAGTCCTCGCAACAATCATCTCATTCATGCTGTTCATGGCATCGTCATCATGCACTCCACTACAGGGGTGTGTGCAGGGAAAAAACGGAGAGAGAGAGAGAGAGAGAGAGAGAGAGAGAGAGAGAGAGAGAGAGAGAGAGAGAGAGAGAGAGGGGAGGGAGGGAGGGAGGGAGGGGAGAGAGAGAGAGAGAGAGAGAGAGAGAGAGAGAGAGAGAGAGAGAGAGAGAGAGAGAGAGAGAGAGAGAGAGAGAGAGAGAGTACAAGATGCCTCTATTAGGTTACGATATGGCAGACATATAGGCATAAGTGTATGCCCAATCGGATACGTGCGTGTAACTTTACATATGAGATTAATAAAACTGTCTATTTAACTGTGGCCAAATTCTGACACTTACTGTGCACACATACACATATTCTTACACTAATTTCCTCACTTGCACTTACTGTATACCTCACACGCAAACAGCAAAACTATATACAAATGCCTGCTAAACAGTAATACTAATAAAGATATCAATAGAAAACGCGATCTCCCCGTAAAGAAAATGGAGCACGAGAGACGTTCCCCAGTCTATTTTTAACAGCTCGTGTGGGGTTAGCTAGCACAGGGCGAGCATCCAGTGGCA